GGTTTAAGGAACTGGGGGGCCCCGAATTTTCCCCCCCCCCCCCAACGAATGAGTAAGGGGTAGTTGTTACTCCTACTTATTCACCAAATACAGTAAAATAGTAATTAACCCCTTCATGACCAGTGACAGTGTACGTCACTGGCATTGGGCCCATTTAAACAGACTCCAATATTTATGTGTATCTCTAAACTAGTGACCTTTGGGGGCTTTTAAATCGTTGTCTATGGATGTTTTGGGGTACTGAATTCTTTTGCAGCTTCACTGACGCACAAATTTTTTAACCAGGTTAAAAATTATGTGCATTAGTTAAACTGCAACAAAATTCAGTACCCCAAAAAGTCCATAGATGACGCTTTAAAAGCCCCTACAGGTCATCAGTTTAGAGATACACGTAAATACTGTCCCTAGAAATATTGCCCTCACTCCAGCGTGCGTGGCGATACCCAACATGTGTAGCAGGATCGCCGTTTTCATACGTAGGCGCACCAGACGCGTGTTTACCTAAAGACGCGAGGGCTCGCAGGGGCGAGGGACTTTAAAAACATTTTTAACATTATTTTTACATTTATTTTATTTAATATTAATTTTAAAAACTGTTATTTTTTTTTACTTTACTTTAATTGCTATCACATAGGGGGGCTTACAAGCCCCCAATGTGATAGCAGATTAATGGTGACAGGTACTCTTTAAGGTGATACTGGGGGTCCAAAAGACCCCTAGTATCACCTTTACACTTGAAATAAGCTATTGAAGTGCAGTTCGCACTTCAATAGCTTATTTCTGGGCTTAGGAGCCCAGCACTGACAGCTAGAGCTGTCAGTGAGCCGCCAGAATCGCTTCTACTTTAAAGCCGACAGTCGGCTTTACAAGTTTAAATAGAGTCCTGGCAGCAAAAGCCGCCGGGAGTCTGTTTAAACGGCCCGATGCCAATGACGTACACTGTTCGTCACTGGTCATGAAGGGGTTAAAATTCCTATCAGACCTAAAGGGTCTGATATGAATTTGGGGGGAGTCGCACCCTGGTTTTTTTTAAATTGTTTCTGTGGTCTGTCAACAGTTAAAAACTTTTCTGCATTCTGTAACAGCTCTTTTCTACTTTGTTGACATCGGGGATGCTCCCAAATGTCAACAAAGAGGAGGACAGCTGTCACAGAATAACACAAAGTTCTCTGCTCCTTTGATTCATTCCAAATGACATTCGAGAAACATTTCATATGCATGCAAATTTCGTTATCAAAAACATTCGAATTGGTTCAGATTAATTATTTCTATCATTCGGAAATTTGGATGCATCCGAATGTCTGAATATACAGAAATGTGTACTAATTTCAATTCAGAATGAAACAAATCGCACAGCTCTATGCTAAAGCAACAAAGTGACAGAATCCAGTGTTTAAGTAAATGGCTTTTTCTGGGGTAGCTGCCATAAGTTATATGGTGACTCCATGTCCTATTAGAGGATATTCAGTAAATGCTGAAACCTCCATTACCACACCACTGTCAGGAGTAAGACCATTAGGGGTGTTATATTTCATTCATTCATTTCATTTTATTCAGAATACTTTGTAGGAACTATAATGTCACAGGAAACCTTTTTTCCATCTTATTCTCACATTTTGGTAGTGTTATTTTATTATGTTGTAATTATAAAATATTTAGAAAACGAAATTAAAATATAACTGTGCATAGATTTGAGGTAATATACATATATCACCATGTACACTTACCAAATATACCACAGATCGATTGGCTGCTCAATATAATTGACACATCTAAAATATAAAAAAACAAGATAGTGAACTGTGCGGTAGAGAAATAATGATAAACAATATAGAAAACAACATACTTTTTATTTATACGCACACACACAACATTTATTTACATGCATATAGTATTATATGTGTACAAAACTACATTATTGATGATTTATCTATACTGAACTTATTATGTAATACAACACAGCACAGGGGCTCTCAATGGGTAATCAGGAATCTCAACACAATGTTCTAGCATTTAAAATGGCTTCTGAAGTTTTTGCTCCTTTGGTCACATCAACTTTGGGAAATACCCGACTATTCTGTGTATGAGTGAGTATGTGACTTACTACCCCTCTATAATGTAACTGGTTTAGGTGCTTTGTGATGGGCCCTGTCACATAGGGCTGGGAAGGAGCCTAAAGCCAAGTTGAAATAAATATTTATTTTTCCCTGGTTCTCGTGGGCATACAGTCTCCTTTAGGGCCTGTTCACATGAGATCAGGTCCTGATCAGCAGACGTGGAGCTGCTGATGCATTGCGTTTTTGGCTGCGTTTTGGCCACGTTTTGGATGCGTTCCAGCAAAAAAATAACTTTTTTTTTGCTGGAGTGGGGCTGTTAGTATGTTAGCTGCAGCGCAGTGCGTTTTTGACGCGTTTGCGTATCCGTTCCGTTTCCGGACCTGACAAAATGTGACATGCAGTATTTTTTCTGTCGTAAGCTGAACGGACTGCGCACGTGAGAACTGGAGCCCATAAAACACATAGAGATACATTGGGATGCATTTTGAGTGCAGCAGCGTACGGAGCCGGTCAGCACACAAAACGGACGTCGTGTGAACAGGCCCTTACATCCATCAAGAATGTAGTTCAGGAGTTTGCCTGAATGGCTGTAGCTTGAATGGATTGTTTACATGAGGATTGACCTCACATTACATGATTTAGGATAATCAAAAACAGATTAAACTGAATCTGTTCAATATGGTTGTAGTGTTTATGACCAGCTGTAGACTTCATTAGCTGCATATTCATGATGCATGGACAACCATAACAGATGAGCGTAGCCTAAAAACATGTGAAAATTTCAAATGGGCATGATCTTTTGAAAGATCACTTTTTTGAATTGTTGCAAAAGCATGCAATAGCAAATGACTTCCATGAGTGGACTGCAGGGAGAGTATTATGTATTTATTTATTTTTTGCCATATCGTGACCATGTGAAATCTAATTTCTATGTAATGGTTGCCCAATATCATACGATTCAATCTGTATACTGGCTCTTTCCCTACTAAGAACTGGAGAATCTGTTTTGTATAAGAGATATTTCTGCCATGTTTATGGCCAAGTTAAGACATGGGTATTGCACAGCAGGCTACCAATAAGAGTCCTATACTACTGCTTCAGGATAGAAAATAAAAGCATTTATTTAACAACTGTTTAATCAGTTTATCATACTAGAATCCATTAACATTTCACCAATCAAAAACATCCATTAACATGAATATATTTAAAACATGAACACTATTTTAGCCACTGCTAAGAATGACAACAATTTCTACTACATTATTTTACTTAGTTACTACATTTAAATTATATCACATAGGTGAATTAAAATCTCCTCCCTAATGATTGACATTGCAGATCACTTTTTATACACTCCTGGATGGGAAGGGGGTTTAACACCGCGGATGTCAACTGGTTAATACCCCCAGTGGAAATATCAATTATGTTTTTGTAGCTCTGCCAGCATATAAAGCATATAAAACATAATAAAAATAAAAAAATTAAATCAGTTTGAATAACACATCAACTGAATGACTGGTTTTATTAAATAAGCTAAATACATTTTTAGATGGAAATTGCACAAAAACAACAAGCATGCTGCTGATAATGTAAATGGCTGTTCTACAAGTAGTTTATCTAAAAAATAATCAATGCAGCCAATACTGGAGACAATAGCAAGAACCACAAGATATGGTTTCCTTTTTTTTAAATGTTTTTCTGATAATACCTGCCTTGTGTCACTGTATGTCATGTAAGAACGCACTAAAACCTTTTATCCTGACAATTGCTTTATAAAGTTTAATTATTCTAGAAAGTTAAGTATCTTGAAATGGAGCAATGGACTATCTCTGCCCTTTAAGCAAGGAATAATAATCATTTAAGATTTTTCAGTTAACCCGGTTCACCCACTCAATGTTTCAATGCTCATTAGTGATTGGTTTCTCTTCAAACACAGTTGGATTTTTGTACACGTATATTACATTTGATTGCATGCATGGATATCTATATAAGAGCTAATTGCTAAGGAAAGGGTTTATTAGCCACATATTATAGTCTTAAGAAAATAATCTACGTGATTATTACTAATTGAATTGAAATTTGGACCATATGTTATAAACTAACCTCCTGTAGACATAGCAAGAACAAAATATGAAAAAACACACTCCTGGTATATGAACACACTGCTGAGTGTTATGTTCTAGGACAGTGATCGCGAACCTTTTTGAACCCGAGTGCCCAAACTGCGACGCAAAATCAATTTATTTATCTCAAAATGCCAGTGCTGAAAATAAGTTTAGTATTGCAGTTTGGGCGCACGGGTTTAAGAAACCTTCAACATCACTGCCTTAGGCAAAATAGAGAAACCTGCATATTCAAACATTAAGGCCCCATTCACACTGAGCGACACTCACCTGGGCGGATTTCCGCGCGGCCGGGATAGCGCGACTGTTCAGGCGACTTTCCAATGACGATCGCGCGACCTTCACCATCGGGCTGCATGCAAAAATCTAAAAATCGCACAACATTCGCGGGAAAAAGTGTCCTTCACGAGCGACGGGCGACATGAAGCTGTACATTAAAACAGCTCCATTGAAAAGCATTGGATGGCGACTCCTTGCGATATCGTGCAGCGGAAATCCCGCGATAAAACGCCCAGTATGAATATGGACCCGGACGTCCCGGATCGCCTCTGTAGTCGGGTCGGTCACAATCAGGCAGCGGCGGTGACCTCTAAACAGGCAGATTAGACGGCCGCTCGCGGGGGCCTCCCAGGGTCCTAGTGAAGAGGAAGCAGCCGTCTAACCTGCCTGTTTATTGGCTGCCGCTGCCTGATTGTGACTGGCCTGGATCGCGTACCAAGGCGATCTGGGTCAGTCGGATCTATTTCAATTGGTGGTCCCTGAACCTGGGCTCGTGTGCCAGCAGAAAGGGCATCGTGTGCCCTCCCTGGCACGCGTGCCATAGGTTTGCCGCCACTGTTCTAGGAGATGGTGTGCAGAGCTCTTCAAAACAGGGAGAGGAACCCTGTGAATCACACATCAAAAAGTTACAATATACTAAAGATCGCGACTACCTGTGTAAGTACTGGGGAACCTGGTGTGGCTGGCACAAAGAACTGAAATAAATAATATATAGTATGTGACTTACAGTTGGGAAGTCATCAGGTGTGTCTTGAAATCCCCAGTGGTATGGCTTCGGAAATCTTGTAAACTTGTCGGGTCCGCGGCAGGTGATCGATGAATGCCGGACCGAATCTGGGATACCGAATCCGTCGCTATCCCACTTACTTGGCTGGCCAGGCCGAGCTGTGGCAGCTGGAGACGGAGAGGGGTAAATGTCTGTCAACTGGATGACACACCTCGCCGTGTGTCTCAGCACCGTGTTCGGGAGAACAATCAGGGGTGCGCTGAATGATACGGGTCAGTGCTCGATGTCAGAGGGAGATATGCTCTGATGTGAGAAAAACCCTATGGCAAGATTGGCGGCAGGCTACGCGTTTCGAGGGTTACCCTCTTTGTCAAGCTTCAGGCAGATGTAGAGCGCGGGAAAATGGTCTACTATTTTAAAACAAGGACACCCAGATCTAGCCATGAAAGACGCTGCTGGCCCATCCCCTAGGCGTTCTCCAGACTCATAGTCTCTCCCCCATCGGGACACTCAGCCTATCACTGGGCTAATCCTAATTTGATTCCTCCCCCTGTCATTGTTTTAAAATAGTGGACCATTTTCCACTATCCACTAAGTGATGAATAATTGTCTCATAATTGGTGAATGATAATTTTAATACACTAGTTTCTCTCCTGTTTCTGCCAAATAACCAAACTAAGCATTTCCAGATGGAGTTTCTAAGCCAGCCATTCTCAACTAGGGTTCCTTCAGCGATTGCTAGGGTTCCTGGAGCTATGGATGACTGACCTCTAATTTGATGGTGCCTGTATAGTTCCTGGGTCAGCCTCACTTGCTAGCTACATGTAATGTGTCCCCAGTCTCTGACTGTTCCCAATCTCCAACAACCCCTATAGCATGTTTGCAGTCTCTGACCATCTCCCGTAGCATGCTTGTCTATGGCCATCTCCTGTAGCAAGTCCGCAGTGTTTGACTGCTTTCTGTAAGATTATATTCACTGAATATTATGTGCTGGCCCTTGGTGATATCAGGGGCCACACTTAGGGCTCCCTATATGAACTACCACCACTGCTGTACTGTAGATATATGATAGATAGATAGATAGATAGATAGATAGATAGATAGATAGATAGATAGATAGATAGATAGATACTGTAGATATTATTCTTTGTTGCATCTGTGCTTCTGCTCTCTTGCAGCCTCTTTGCATCCACTCCCAGTTTGCATGCACACACTCAAACACGGGCTGCATGGCATTTCTTAGGGAGAGCTTGCTGATATAGTCAACAAAGGACTGTGCCTGTATATTGTGTGGTGAAAAGGCCACATGTAGACTCTGCCAGAAGCCTATGTGACAGGGTGAAAACATAGCAAAACAATAGGTAGACAAGGACAGAGTGTTGTCACTCTGTAATGAAAAATGTTTAAACAAGGACTGCCATGGCAGGATCACCATGTATTAAAGTAGATCTGAAGCCAGAACTTTATTAAGTTTTGGATAGAGTAAGGTAGTATTCTAACCCCCATCAGTTTTTCTTTTGTCATTTGTGTTCCACAAGGGAGATTTCCCTTCACTTCCTGCCTAATAGTCACAATAGGAAGTAGGTAGGGTTGCCACCTGTCCAAGATTCACCCGGACAGTCCGGGTTTTGAATGCTGTGTCCAAGTTTCATGGCAGTAGAAACCCGGACACAAGATGTCAGGCATACAGGGGCAACCAAAATTAAGATAGGGGCTACTGGCCCGCCACTGAAAATAATCTCAACTGTGATATTTTCATATGAATAAGGTACGACTCATTCTCCCCAAAAAAAGTCAGCACGTCACTAGAGTGTGTTCGGGTTTCACTTGAAGAAAAGGTGGCGACCTTAGAAGTAGGGGAAATCAAAATCCAAAAGAGAGGGACATCCCTGGTGGGCAGCAAGATCACCAGAACTAGTGTCCCCAGTGTAATATTTCCCATCTATTCCTATTCTGATGACAGCCCAACATTTTGGATTTTCTTTTACTTTCACTTTCAATGATAACAACCACCAAAAGGAGTAGGATGAATCTTCCTAAGGGCTAGTTCATACCAGCCACAGTGCGTTCCGGCCCGATTTTGTGAACTAGCCCTAAATAAAAACATATCAGGTGATCTAATCCCTTTCCACTCTAAAAAAAAATTGGCTTCAGTTGTATTTTAATTTATTGAAATCAGCAGATGTAAAAATATTAAATATGAGTTTAGAAATTACTTTAACACGGTAACTTTCTATGAGATTTTAGTAATTGGGTTTAGACATATTTTTTCAAAATGGTGATAACATATCCAGGGAATGATTTCTGCAAATCCCTGCAGAAAATACAATTTGCTTCTTCATTTACACAGAAGTCTTACTACCAGAAATGAGTTTATAATATTTGTTAATGTAGCAAAATACAATTTTCTTGTACAAGGAGAGTTGTACTAAAATGCTACTTGCCAGTATACCTACCTGCATTGTGCTGGTGGACCTAATGAAAGCCAATGTACTCTTAAAACAAGACATTTTACACTACCTGGCATGGGATGACTGGGAACCTTTGGTGTGGAGGGCAAATACAAGTGGTCCTTTTTTTATGGTGGGGACAGACATATCTTCCAATGCTAGCTTGCAATGCTCTTGTCATTCAATCACATCTCAGATCCACAAAGGGAGTCGATGCTGGAAGACTTCCCTCTACCAGGCAGTGTGGTTGCGGGTCTGAACAGTTAGCTTTTATGCCCACCATATATCGCTGTCTGCAGGTCCCACTCCAATTAATGTCTAAATATTGAAGGATCTCAATTCAGGGTCACTGGCCCAACATCTTCTTAATTCTGGCACAGGGGGAAAATGCCCCCTAAGCCTAGTCATCTCTTGCTATCTGGTAATTGAAAACTAATAAGGTACATCATCAGTGAAGGTAGGTTTCCTGTTTCCAGTTTTTTGCAAGACATACAGAGTGTACAGCAATCTCCTATGAGCAATACAGAACTGATGAAACATGGTGGGTGGCTTTATCATGCAATTCCAAAAAGGTAATAGGTTAGTGTTCTTTCCACATTATCACTGTTCTATGTAATCAATCCTGTGTTATTATTTGTAAATTATTATCGTGGAACTGTAGCAGGTATTCACTTTTTCCCCAGAACATGCCATGTCCAGAGATTTATTTTTCTTTTTTTATAAATCCATTGAGTACATCATTAAAATATATATCTTGAAAATCCTGCCTGGCTGAGGCAACCACATCTATCAAATCATCAGCTACATATGAAATACTTCTTTTTACACCCTGTGATCAGCAGTCATGGACAGTTAGAAAGCATAAATTAGATTACATGCAATTAAATGTGACATCAGGAAGTAATGCATATTTATACACCTTATATGATTTAACTAAATTAAAGTACAAAGAAATGCATATATATATATACACTGGATGTAATGTTACCTGAGGAAAAGCAAAATAGACCACTCCAGTAAAAAGGTTCAGGAAATAGGAGCACGCTGTTTTAAACTTCATTATGAATGTGCAAAATCCTATTTAGATTGGCGCTGGCAGCTCGTACGCCAGTCTCCTGTGCTTTTGAAGTTTTCTGCTCTGGCAGCTGAATTCATTAGGGAGTTTTTCCTGTGTGACCAACTGATTACGGACTGCAGAAAGTGCTGCTTTAAGGGTGTTAACAGTGAAATGAACATTTGTTTCACGTCATTAGACACCATTGCAACACAAACTCTCCAAGTATAGTTCCCTACATTCAGGAGTCACAATTCTGCATATAGATGGGTTTCTGAACTCTAGAAACAACAAAATATAGGTTTAAAGTAAGAGTAGAAAGTCACTTTAACACATTATAGCAAAAGAAGAAATCACTTTTGGATTTTCTTTGGTGAAACAAGCAGAAAATCATGATCGGATGTTAAAAGTCAAAGTCATTAGTGCTTTTACTCATGTTCCTTGCAGTAAGGAAGGCACCATTTGAAGATAAGGAGCTTATGGCCTTGAAAATTATGTTCCAGCGGCCTCTCCTCTACGTGTAGCCAGTTGGCAGCACATGTTAAAAATAGCTAGACATGGAAGGCTTGCTTTGAAAAATGGAATTTGGCTTTTTTCCTGTTTTAGATTTTCTAAATTGCTTCATGGAAGTTGGCTTTTTACCTGGCCCATGTCTGCTAAATTGTGACTGTGAGAAGTGTCCTTGTCTTTCGTTAGGTTATGCTATATAACCAATTAATAGACAGTACTTAGCAGAGTTTATCAGTGTCTCATTTTGTTGCGACAGCCATATACCTTGTACTCCTATAAAAGGTTACCAATGAGTATCTGTGTTAAATACTACTTACATACTTTATAGTGCATGTTCCTCAGCCGAGAGTCATGTAATAGAAGTCATTCTTTGCAAAGATCAGAAACTTAATAAAAGTCTAATCTACCCCTTATTCACAAATCACTACAATGCAAATCTGTGTAATCTGGTTTGGTTAATTTCCCTCACAATCCAGTTGGTTGTCTCTCACTAATGTAATCATTGGAGGAAGGTAAACATTTTAAGATTCTACTTCTGTCGGGGGGCAGAGTACCCCTGTATACTGGAGTGGAACCCAATAGCGAGAACAGCACTGGTATGCAAGTCCAAGATGAAGGTACAATATGGAGAATCCAGAAATCGTTATCAGAATACGGTCTGGGTCGAGGCAGGCAGCAAGTATCAAGAAACAAGGAATCGAGCTGGGGATCAATAACTAGGAAATCCGAATAACGGGGAAGGAAAGCAGGAACAGGAGAAAGGAAGTAACACTTCGTAGCTGCACCGGATACAGACAGAATAACTCAGCAACAAGTCTGGGCTCTGGCTGGAATTTAAACCCAACAAGGACCAGAAACGCCCCCATTGTCAGGGCAACAAGGAGGCTTCTAACCCTCTGGAGCCAATGGGATGGCGAGGAGAGGAAGGCGTATGAACAAGGCCCTCCCTGCTAATGACCAGCACCCGAATTGACTAATAGGTCACGGTAACATCACACACGTGTGCACCCGTAACCCCACCGCCAGACGCTAAGGCAACACAGGAACCTAAATCCTGTGCCATGCCCGCCGACACCAAGGTAACAGGGCATAGCTGGCCCCACGACAACTTCTAACCCAGAAGGTCAAAGTGTGATTTTGTTCATCCTGAGATAAAATCAGTTCATTCTGATTTTATTTGTTTATCGCTAGGCTTTAGTAAACAAGTTTTATTTCACCTACTGTAACCACCAAAAAAACATGCAGAATTATATTGTAGGAGAATCCATAATCTAAGAAACACAAACATTTATTCACAGACAGCTAAGAACAATGGAAAACCAACCAACAGTTCCACCCAGCAAAATCCCATTTCTATGTGATGGTTCTGCCCAAAGGAAATCATTTGCATCTCAAACATCCAGACTCCCTCCAAACTTGTTCTCATTGTAGATGTTAACCAATATGCAGCAGTGCCGTCCGTCCGTTTTTCTACTACGGGCGGACGGCAAGAGGTTAAATCACCACTGGATTTTTTATCATATTAAGGAAAAAATACAGAAATATTTGAAAAAAGTTTTTACCTACATTATGTTAGGAAACATTACCTAATTTTTTGGTAAAACATAAAAGACGGGGTCACGTCGGGTAAATAGACACCAAACATGTCAAGCCTTAAAATTGCATGTGCCCGCGACGATGCAACCTAAAATTGGCCCTAGACAACACTTTAAAAGCTTTTACCCCTCATCAGTTTAGTGTTAACAGTGACTGATGGCCCCAGAATTATTGCTCACGATCCGATGTTTGTGGTGATAAGTAACATGTGCAGTGTAATGGACGCAATTGTCGTTTTCGCAGATAGGCGCACCCGATGCATGTTTGCGTGTATGTGGGGCTAGGGGACATAACATTTTTGTTGTGTTTTTAGATTTTGTTATGTGTGAATTTAATTTTTTTTCGTAACTTTATTTTTTTTAACTTTTCTGTTTTCACTTAACTTTATTGTTACCGCATAGGGGCTAAGAAGCTCCCTTTGTGATAGCAAAGAAAATTGTGACAGGTCCTCTTTATCGAGACATTAGGGGACCCCTAATGTCACCTAGGGACCCCCAAACAAGCTGATGAAGCAGACACCTTCTTCACTAGCTTCTCTCCAGCTTCTGTAGCTGGAAAGTGACAGCTGAATGTTGAAGTGATTTAATATATATCACTTCCCGCAGTCAGATACAAGCAGGGGGATCAGAGGGAGATTGTGTACTGATCTCTGCTCACAGAGCCACCGTGCCAGTTCCGGGCCCGCACCAAGCACAGTGGAGCTCGGGACTGGCATCAGAGAAGGGGGCCTGTGCACCGAGCGGCATTTAATACAAGTGATCGGGCGGCTCTACAGCTGCCTGAACGCTTGTATGTAAACAGCCATCGCTGACTTGTTGACAATTTCCCGCTAAAAGGATGGGGGCGGGGTTAAAAGGAGATTTTTAAACGCCCAGTCACATTCAAAAAGCTAGCGGTTAAAGAGGAACTCTGGGGTATAGGCTTATTAACCCTTGCTTGCTACCTCCCACTGCAATGGTTAGGTGCTCGGTTTTTTTCCCCCTGAAGGTCTGCTTTAAATAATAGGTGCTTGAGTAAACAAAGTAAAGGGTCATAAACAGTCATTTAGAACTGGATATGACGGTGTATTAAGTTGGGGGATTGTTTCCTGTGTTCCAGTCCTGAGTCTTATTGCTGCACTTCATGTTTATAGGCTGTTGCCCTGGTATTCTACACAGCATTGTGTGTTTATAAATTGTAGTGTCAAAAATGATTTCTTTTTTGCAATGATTTGTGCATGTCTAATTGCTGCATATTATAGAGTCCTCCTGTCCTACTTTAAGTCCTTTTGTCCTATTATATCATTATTGATGCCTTTGATGGATGTAATCAATAGTAATTACTATAACATTTTTGCAATGTATATGAAGCTTGTTCCAGGTCAGGCCAGGCCAGGCCATGACTCACCAACCAGTGACACAGAAAGAATTGCAGACTTAGTGTTTCACCTTCAAAAGCAAGCCCTATACCTCTGTGCTCTATTCTCTTTAAAAGGAAAACATGTAAAGAAATACATGAAAAAACCTTCTTACTAGCTGAATTGCTGTCTCTGATCTCAATTCCTTTAGGTGGATCTAAACCACACAACAACATTATTTTTATATGTTGCAGCTTAAAAGTCCTTGCGGTAGCTGCATCAGTTAAAAAAAAAAAGTACTTTATAAAAACTTTAAAGTTTTATATATATATTTTATATATCTAAACTATTAACAAACATGTATCTTATTGGTGTATCACTCGGCTGTAGATCCTCAATTCATCTCTGAATTGGTGCTGCCACTGTCCTTCCCTATGGAGGGTGGCTACTTTTGTTCCCCATGGTCTATGTGTGTTGTAAACTCCATCACGGGAGTGAACTTGGTTTGGAGGCTTGGAGCGGTCAACCTGAGATCTTGTGAGATTTTGCAGTTTACAAATAAGATTTCCCAGGAGGGCAGCACTGATGATGTAACCTTCCCACAATGAATCTGAGAGGCCAGGGCTACATCACTAGTGCCTCGCTCAGCCTGGAAATGGAATAACAGCAAAAATAACTGTAAGTAGAAGCAAAAAAAATATTAACTAATGAATGTACAGCTAGTAAAGCATACAGCTAGTAAAGTCAGAACTAATATTAATACTTGCTCTGTGTCTGAAAGCCCTGAGGCCCTTGGACCAAGATAACATCCACGCATCTAGCAGTTTGAAAAGGAGAGTTTAGTAATGACAGCATGCTTACATTCTTGGTACAGGTTTCCTTTAAAGAGATCCTGTCACAAATGTTAAATATTGCAGGTAAAGGTAGGAAAAATGAAGAATTGTACATGTTTACTTGCAGTGTTTTTCTTTTAGATGAACACATTTTATTCACTTGAATGTGCCCTTAAACTTGCTAAATTCCCTAGCTTAGCCCTCTCTCCTCCAGGTAGTGTATTATTACTCTCTGTGCTGGCCCAGCATCTCCACTCCCCCCTTTACCTCCTAATATAACCAAACAGCCTAAAGCATGGTCAATGCACATATAATCTTATGAGAAGATTGTTTTTGAAATGAATGATCTAGTGATAGGCTCTTTTTAACATATAACTGTAAGGTTCACCACTGTCAATATTTGAGGCCTCACATCTGATCCTCATAAGTATGCAACTTGGATTTCAGATCTGCACACTGGAGGTTTTATTCAATTTTGTCTGCAAATACTTCATGCAAAGTTGTACAAACAGTGAGAAATAAATCAATTAATGTAAACTGAGTGAAAAATGCAAAGCCTCACTGGCATACTGAAATGCGTTCTTCAAAGATGTTTTATAGAGCCATTCACTTTGACAAGGAGTGGACATTAGATTAAACATAAATCTTTTAATTTAGTAGACGTTGCTTTGCATAATAAATTATTGCTACCATAATCGCTTCTCAGTCTGAGGTTTTGGTCCTCATCTCAATAACCACATTTAGAGGGAGATGTCAGATTTACTGTTATAAAATGCAGCATGTCAGGAAAGTGAACCAAATGAAATAAATATATGTTTGATTATTTTCTGAATG